AAGGGCCGTTCCTCCCTGTGCTCCTGGCGCCGGCCCGCCCGCGCCGGATGGCAGCCCTTCTCCTCCGTCCGTGGGTGTGGGCGTGGGAACACCCCGTCTGTGCCCACGCCCTCGGTGCGGCTGCGGGACGGAGGCTCCCCCTGGGGCGGACGGGGGTCTGTGTGACCCTGGTCGGCCTGCCCGCAGGCAGAGGGGAGGGACAGCGGGGCGGGCGGGCAGGCCGGGGCAGGGGGCTGCGGTGAGAAAATAACTCTCCCCCTTCGGGGACCGCAGCTGCAGTCACAATGCTGCTGCCCGGCTTAGCGGGACACGGAGCCCGCAGACCGAGTGACAGGTCCTCCCTTCCTCCAGCTGATGGACGGAGGTAAACTCCGCCTGCAGCCGGACATCCCTGAGCTCTGAACCACCATCAGCACCTGCCAGACACCCTGAGCCCCCATTCCTGAGCCCCTAGGCCCCTCATCACAGGCCTTACAGGACCCACCGATCAGCGATCAGCGATCAGCGCTGCTGAGTGCCCCAAGCCCGTCCCCTCTCTCTCCTCCCCTTAAAGGTGCCTGTACCCGGTCCTCGCTCGTGCTCTCTCTCTCCCTCTCTCTCCCTCTCCCTCTCCCTCTCCCCCCCTCCACCCCCCCCTCTCTCTCTCTCAGGAGCCGGCAGGGGTGCTCTTCTCTCCAATAAAGCCTGTGTCCTGGCCTCCTGGCCTCCCGCCCCCTGTTTCCTCTTTCCCAGAGGCCCCGCTCAGGCCTGCAAAGGTGAGCATGCTGGCCCGGCCGCACACAGAGCCCACGTCGGTGGGTGTGCCCACGCGGGACCAAAGGGCCCGGCAGGACTGGCCTTGGGGCGGACCTGTCAGAAGCAGAGGCCTGCTGTCTGGGGGCTCCGAGACTGACGCCCCTTATCAGAAAGACCTCCAGCCTCCCATGCCCACACCAGCCCTTGGACACAGGAGCCTAGTCCAGAGATCACTGCAGGTGGAGGAACCATCGGATTCCCAGCTCCCGGGTTGGCGCCTTCTTGGTCAATGAGCTTTTCCTTTCTCCAAACTTCTTGCCCTGGCCGGTGTGGCTCAGTGGACAGAGCCTAAGCCAGCGGACTGAGGGGTCCCAGGTTCGATTCCGGTCAAGGGCATGGACCTTGGTTGCAGGCACATCCCCAGTGGGGGGTGTTATAGTTATATTAGTGTGATGATTTAAGGATTTAAAACAGTGTAAGAATAATTACTTGTGTGATTTAAAATAAGAATGAAAGCATTTACTTTTATGAGTGATTTATAGTTTAAGTGTGAATTGTATTTCTGATCTTATTCTGATTTTATTTTAAGTAAAAGAAATTATTTGAAATGTGTTTTAGGTTTAGTATAAGTAACTCCATATAATGTGACTTGAATCCATTTTGTAAAACTTGAGTTTTAAAACTGACTGTGTGAAAGCCCTAACAAGTGTTTATCTGAAAAGTTGGAAACCGAGGCAAAAGGTACCTGGAGAGTGCCCGATTAGGCACACTGAAGATCCATTGGCTGCGCCCAGAAGGAATTAAGAAACACCCAGAAATGGCCATAAAAGAAGGGACCTAAGGCTCTGGGCAGAGACCGTGAAGGGCTCCTCCGCCCGATGTGCTCTCCACGCCCTTCTCCCCGTTAGGAATACTGCGTGAGACTCTGCCGGAGTGAAGCTGTCACTGCCTGTGAGCCGAACCTCTGAGGCCTCGTTCCTGACCGAGGCGCTGCAGCGGCACGTTCCTGTCCAGTGTGTGTCTGTCGGCGCGGAGACCTGCCTGGGCTTCTGGAAACCACCAGGACTCTGGTAAATAAACCTTGGGATTCGTGCAATCTAACTCTTGTGTCTGTGTTTCGTTTATGCTCGGTCAGTTTTAGTTAAGTACTGTGGGCAACCCGTATGAGTCCAGGTCTCTGGCTGAGGGCCCCCAGTCACCTGTGCAGAAGTCCCCACCTGAGGGTGAATTGGAACAGGGGTATGCAGGAGGCAGCTGATCTCCCATCAATGTCTCTCCCTCCCCCTTCCTCTCTGTAAAAAATCAGTAAAATATATTTAAAAAAAAACACAAAACTTCTCTAAATCTCCCTTTGGTTTCTTTGTCCCACAACCTGTGGGGGGAGTGTCTGACCGAGCGAGCGAGCGAGCTCTGGTTCTGCCGCGCTGGCACAGCCAGGTGGGGCGGCAGCACCGAGCCTCTGGCTGAGACGCCGGAGTTACACACAGCAGCACCCCACGTGCCGCCCAGGGGCTGGGGCGTCCGGCCCGGCACCGAAAGGCTGCAGGTTCGAGACCGGTCAGGGCACACGCCTCGGTGCCAGGCTCCCTCCTGGTCAGGGCATGGCCAGGAAGCCGCCGACCGACGCTCCTGTCTCCCATCAATGCTTCTCTCTCCTCCCTCCCTCCTCCTCTCTCTAGAAGCAACTTTAAAACGTCCCTGGGTAAAAAAATAATAAAATAAAATAAAATAAAATGTCCCTGGGTAAGTATTGACGCAAACAGACAACAGCCAGGTTCAGGTGCAAAACCCAGAGGTTAACAATGCAGTGCCTCCTGCACCCCGAGGACAGACCCCAGGACCCCGATTCTCCCGGGAGGGGCCCCCATTGCCCCCGTGAACACACACCAGGGGAGGGTCAGAGGCCGTGGGGGGCAGGGAGCACGGTGCACAGGGCGGGCCGGACCCGGGCCTGCCTCCGCCTGTTCGCCGTGGACGGTGTCACAGGACTCACCAGGCGACCGGGAAATACAAGGAGCACCCCAAGACACGGGGAGCCCCATTCGCCTCCTGACGCGCTAGCGCGGCTCCGGGCCTATCCAGTCCTGCACGAGCCGACAGGGAGGACGCTCCCTCCCTTTATG